CGTCTCTCCCAGGTCGTCTGTTCACTTCCCGCCCGTCCCCAGGACCTGTAGCTATCTCGGCCGCGGCCTGTGCCCTCTGTGTCTACCTCCTCGTGACGTCATGGTCAACACCGGTCAGGCCAGTGATGACCGCCGACTGGACAGAGCTGCCGGACCCCCCAGACCTGACCTTCCGTGACAAGTACTTCCTGTGGGATCGCCTCCACCCTCCGGCCATGGGAGATGACCAGTGGGCGAGAAGTGACAGCTACCTCATCTACCGCTGCGACCCGGGCCGGATGGACAGGTGTGGGGGGCTCGCAGACCGCCTCAAAGGGATGCTGCTCGCTTACGTCATGGCCAACCTCACACGGCGCGCGTTCCGGGTGGAGGTGATGAAACCGTCGTGTGGCTTCCAGTTCTACCTCACGCCCAACGTCTACGACTGGAGCGTGGAAGACGAGGCCACCCTCCCACCACCCGATTCAGGGAACATCGTCCGACTCGTGAACGACCATTATTTCAGGGATAACATCGCTAGGATACACTTCGAGGAGTATATATCGCCCTCGGTGAGGGAGATTTATTTTCAAGCTAACTTGGAGTATATGGGCGAGCTGAGGAGGACGAGGGTATACCACGAGGAGTTGTCGTGGATGGAGGGTTTGTCCCCGGCTGACATCTACGCCGCGCTCTACAAGCGCCTGTTCCGCCTCGCCCCACGCTTGCAGACGCAGCTCCGACAACTTCTATCCAAGCACCTCAACTCCACGCGCTCACGACTTGTCTGCACGCACGTGCGTCTGGGCAGAAACCCCTCGATACAGGGAGACACAGAGATCAGGAACTCACTACGCAACGTGAAGACGTATCTCTGGCCGTTTTTACAAAGTCAGTTACTGTCGGAAACTGACTCGCTTTTCATCATGACGGACTCGGCGCAAGTTGACGAGTCGGCGAGACAGCAGCCGTTCGCTCACAGACTGGTGGCCATCCCAGGCACGATCGCTCACATCGACATGGCCAGGGGTCTGTCGTTTGAGGAGATGTGCCAGGCGCAGGACCGACTGATGCTGGAGTTTCACCTGCTCATGACTTGTGACCTGGTGGTCAAGAGTGCCAGCGGCATCAGTGAGTTCGCCTCCTTCATCCGAGGCTCGGACCGAGGACTCTACTGTTTCCATAAAAACGGCACCATCTTTCCGTGCCAACGCAATAGGTTCAGCAACTTTTCTTGAGCAATGTTAGTGTTTGTATAGGTTTACGTGTAGGCCCTACCCTCTCAGTTTCTGTCTCTCTGTCTCTGTCTGAATCTCTCTCTCTCTCTCTCTCTCTCT